AATACAAACCTTGATTTTTCTTAAACAATATTTTTAATGTGGATGCTTCAAATCAAATTTAGACAAATTCCTTTATTCCTTATACATAAGATGGTTTTTAAATATTTACTTCTACTTCCCCCATGTGCCCAAAACCTTTGTCTCTGGGGTGAGGGGTTTGGGGGCACATCTTCTATTTTGATTCCCCTTCCACCAAAAATGCTCAAAAGCAAATTTTAATGGAATCCATGCATTTAATCATTGAGACGGAGAAGGATTTCAAACATTGAACTTTATTGTCTTGATTGGGCCCTGTCCCTTTGCCCCTGCCAGAGATGCCACACCTTCTGTTCATACAAAACTGACTTCCTTCAGTCCAACAATTCTAGACAAAATTTTGTGAAAATAAACTAAGGTGTTCTGGACAAGTGCCAGCTGGTATTTAAAGAAAAAATTTACAATGACAAACAGATAATGCACAGATGGAAGATGCCATGCCATGGCATAAGCTCTGACACATTGCACTTCAGGCCAAGTAAGGTAAAAAGTCTACTAAATGCCCCTGCTAGGAGCTGAACCCGGATCTCTGGTTTACTAAATATATAGTCTTACACTCTACAAAATGAGCTGAAGAGAAATTCTCCCTAACCGAGTAGGTAGGAAGTAGCTAGCATTTTGTATAGGTATACAGTACTAAAGGAGAAATAGTCCAGAAAACCCATGTCCACAGAGAGACGGACATCCTTAATGTATAATAATATCAGTCAATTATTCCACAAAGGACTAACAGCTGCTATCTGTTGATAATATAGATCACAAGCTTACCTATCAGCTTCCAATGGTTGATGCCTTTTTTAGACTTGATTTCAACCTGATACGGGTTGACAATATCCTCGTCTTCATGACTATCCTGGTGCTCCACCCCAGTGACCAGCATATCCCCCTCAACCTTGGCCTGTTCCTCAGTCATAGTTACAAAACAATGACAAAGACTAGAGATGCTATCACCCACAGGGAACACCCTGTGTTCAACCTTCTGATTTCAAACGAAAAAGTAAATGAGAATGACTATATGTACCATAAACAGGTACTGTACCTACATAGTTCCTTCAACTCTTCGGAGGTTATCAGCTGTTAATTTATATTGACACGTCATATAAAATTATTCATATATATATATTCCTGGAACCGTCTCCAAATAGATCTGAATGACGATACCCTCGGCGCTTAACTTACTTGGGGTATATAGTCCCAAGTAACAAGACTGTGTATAAAGAGTGAAGACAGAAGTTTGACTGATGACAGGAATTTCAAGTAACTGTGAGAAACCAAGTTAGATAATCTGATTTTAACAAGGTCTTTGTCCATAAATATACATTATACAAACAAACGAAGAAAAAGTCCTTCTAAATTAAGATACAATGCAATGCCCTCCATGATGTCATTAATTCCTGGAACTTTTCTCAAAATTCATTTGAAGAAATGGCGACACCCTTGACGCTTAACTTACTTTGGGTATATAAACAATAGTCCCGAGCCAAGTAAAAAGAAGTTGTGTATGAAGACAGATCAAAAAGACTGATGGGATTTCAAGTAACTGTGAGAAACCAAGTTAGATAATCTGATTTTAACAAGGTCTTTGTCATTGGAATGATCCGCTTTAAATTAGTATTTACATCACATTAGCTAATGATATATATATGTAATTGCTTATATTATAACAGAGCCTTGACGGACACCAGTAGACTATCGCAATTAATAATATCTGTTACAACCACATAAATATACATTATACAAACAAACAAAGAAAAACTCCCTCTAAACTAAGATACAATACAAAGCCCTCCATGATGTCATTCCTTTATACCACAAAACACACCTTGAAAATATACAACATTGCATTATAATAGGATCAGATGACGTCATTTGTTTTAGGTGACAAATTTAATATTGCTGTCCTTCACAAACAATACCATGCAGTGGCGGATTCAGAGACCTATCTTGGGGGGGAGGGGGGTGTTCCATGTGGGGGAAAATTGGGGAAAATTGAGGAAAATGGTGAAAATACATGATTTTTAAAGAAAATTCTCAGGGTTGGGGGGTTTCCTGAAGCCCAAAAAACCCTCTGGATCTGCCACTGCCATGAATAGTTTGACAATCAGAGTGTACTGTGTCCTACCTGTATCAATTGTATTGATTAATGTATATGATAATTGTATTAATTGTATATCTATGTACTGTAAAGCACTTTAGAGTGGCTTATGTTAACTAGATAGGGCGATATATCAAATGCAGTACATGTATATCATTATTATTATTACCTATACCAAAGGAAAACAAATATATACCAAATAGCCCAAGCAGAGTAAAACTTATTATAAACTGGTCTGGGATTGGTAAAAAATGTTTTATATCAAATTTGTTTAATTCATTATCAATGAACTTGAGAGCTAGCCGTAGCCTCAGCTCTAGCATGCAGATGGCTATATATCACCACCTTTGGCCTATTTGTTGTTCAGAAGAATTCATAAAAGCTTTAAAAGATTTGACCCCAGTAACCCTGATGGATGTTCAAGGTCATTTGTTTTGAATCTTGGCGCCCACCATCGTACCATCATCATTAGTTCTTTGTCAGTTTGATCTGTTCTCTTCTTTTCTCTTATCTGTTTGATCAACTTAAGTTCTCAATTCAAGATGGCTGGCTGTCAGCCATTTTGGTTTTCCTTTCAGTCCCAACATTCGTTATTTGTAACTTTGAACTATGGTGAACCTTCATGTGAAATTTGAGAAAGATCCCTCCAGTGCTTTTTGAAAAATAGCGCTAACAAACTTGAACTCTCAAATCCAAGATGGCTGCCTTAGTTTTGTGATTAGTCCCAAAAAACAATCTGCATAACTACGGACCATTGGGAACCTTCATGTCAAATTTGAGAAAGATCCCTGAAGTACTTTCTTAGAAATAGCAATAACAAGAATTGTTTAAGGACGGCCAGAATGAAGGATGGATGGACCACAGACGCAGGGTGATTTGAATGATGATGGTGGGCTAAAAACTTGACGATTCTCCACTCTAGCATGCTACTGGCATGACCTAACACCTCGTGGTTATTCCAATTTCTGTTTTTACATACATGTTGGTCCTTCATCTTAGCATGGTACAGGCAAAATATCATCTCCCTAGGCCTTTTGCAACGTTTTTTTCATCGGTAGACTTTGTTTAAAGCAACAAGACTGAAATACTCTGGGGACCCCAAGATGCTCACCTGATTTACAGTATATGGTCTTTCATTTCAAACTATCTAGCACTCCATGTAAGCAAGCTGCAGGCACCTAGCACCTACAGTTACCAACTTGATAAAGCCATATACTCAAGGAAGTGGGAGAGAATTCATACTAAAGGGTTGTTTATGATTCACAACTCCATAAAATGGGATGATCATATTCGTAACATCACAAATAAAGCAAATTCCATGCTCAGTTTCTTACGAAGAAAACGACGACTTGCAGGACTTTATTGAGAAGTTATAAAGATGAAATAAACAAAATATAATTAACAGCAGTGTTCTGAGTGGAAAAAAACTTTCACAGTGCTAGACCTGGATGTCAACATTGGACTTCAGATTGGTATACAATCGGTCTAACCAATTGAGCTACCAGGTCAATAGAGATGTTCTGGCCCTACTAGTTCTTTGTTACAGTTATATCCAAACAGAAGTTAAAGGGAGATAATTATATATATAGCTGTATTTACAAAAATCACAGTGCAATAGGACAAGGATCCTTAAGATGTCTTTGTATGAGCAACTCTCTGTGAGGTTTCTCTGAGATGTACAACAGGTGCTGGACACACTGGTGTGATGTTTATATACTACAGTATTTAAACCCCACTTCCTTGAACTCTGTTTACTCAAATTCCCCTCATTTGTCGAACAATTCATTTGGTCCAGACCGACTTCGTATATTTCTTTGTAAAGTAACCTCGGATTAGTCGAATACCCCTCATTGGTCGAACAGTTTGTTTGGTCCCATCCAATTTGTACACATTCTTTGTATAGTAACCTCGGATTAGTCAAACCGTTATTCCTCCAATACCCTGTATTCCTCAAACAAAAATTTGTCCCTGACTCATCATTTATCCTATATATTTGTCGGACAGGTATGACATGTCTCGATCTCGAGGCACAGGCTGCTGTCCATGTTCATTTTGCTTAAACAGGTGTCGGCTGGATGTCAGATTATTAGAGGATTAATGACAGTATATTTAACTGTTACCCTGTTGTAGTTGCATTATCATTTTGTGTGCATATTTATTTTTTCCAGATGATGTTTTGACATCGATGATTTGGCAGAAGTGCTAATTCACTTGATGTGTAAAACCGTATTTCGGCATGGAAATATATTTAGTGGAAATCACATAGTGGATTCTCGACCAACTTTAAAGATATTCAAACTTGAATATGTCGTGATTGTTTATTTCGTTATCAATCAACATTATGATAACAAGGATTTAAGATTTTCTTCATTTTAAAATTATCAGAGTTCCTCTCGTTTTGGTATTTTGTAAAATTTATCTTCAAACTGTTGAAGTTGGTCAGTACAATTTAGAAAATTAAACGACAAGTACGTTTTGACACATGCAGCTTTTTAATTTTATTTACTTTCTGAATATGGGTGGCTATGTTTTCATTGTTTAGCTATTTTAAATCTTTTTTTCTTCTATCATCTACTATCAGCGATATTTGCAGTGCTCGTAGTCTGTGTGTTGTCCCACCTCATGTAAAAAAAACGATGATTTCGACTAAACCTCATGTATTCCTCGAACTTTTGATCTGAACCTTACGAGTTCGAGTTAGCGGGGTTTTACAGTATATAAACTTTCATATAGTTATATACATCATATCGGTGTTCAGCACCTGTGAGATGTACATAATTTGGTATCAACTGCAAGGCCTAATAGACGACGTTTATGCAAATTGAACCTCAACACACTTGCAGTATATATATAAGACTTCAATGCTTACTGATTAACTTGGCGTAGTCTATGCCTTTCTGTGAAGAGCTTGAAACATTCCATGGGTTAACCACATCTCCACTTCCTTCATCCATAGACAATTTAGCAAGTTTCTCGGCGTCTGTAGCCATTTTTGCAATATCCTTGTTCTACTGATTTTGGTTTCTCCTTTTTCAGTGAAACATCCACTAATTCTACTTATTGAATATTCCGTTGTGCCTCAATCAGCTGTGCTTATATCATGTTTATAGATCGTTACATGTATACAATATTGTCACAGCTTTCGGTTTCTCACTGGCCACATGTGTTGCATCACCACGTCGAGGTCCTTTGTAACACGATCGTTGATTGGTCAGAAAACGGAAATGTATTATATTTTGTGCGGAGCTACAATATGTCTGCGCTCTTGATATAAACAGATAGCGAGAGTGATTCGTGGCTACACGTTTAAATGCGGATAAAATTACGACTTAATGTATGAAAATGAATGTGGATTGACATAGCTTGCAATGAATGCCTTACTTAATTATGGAAGCGATGACACTGATGATGATAACGCAAAAGGGGACCAGGGAGAAGACAATCGGGTCCAACCACAAGAAACATTTGACTTCTTCAACTTGAACACAAGGGTTGAATTCGATGAAGAGGAGCCGAAAATCAAACAATTGAAAACGGTATTGACGGCATCATCCGGTCTTACTGTCGAAGTGCCTTCCAATGAATTCTGGGAGCCTGTCTCTTCTGATGACATAAAGTTTGTCACAGTAGCACACGATAAAAGAGAATGTAATGCAATCTGTTCATGCAGAAACGAGAACAGAAGAGAGCGGGTAGATTTTGAATGTAAAACTCGTAACTTGAGGCATGCTCCATCACAATACAAACCTGCGCGTTCACAGATAGTCGCAACTGCTTCAGAAAATGAGCAAACAGGAAATGCCCGACATGTTAGCCGAGAACAAAGACAGGCCAAATCTGTACAAGGACAAGTTAAAAACAAAATTGGGAAAAATAATGTTGATAGTCAAATCAACAACAGAAAATTATTTTTCCTGCATTCAAAGATCAAATCTTATCTGAATGGAAAACTGATCTTCAGAATACCAAATAATGTGGAACAAGATACAACAGGACATTCAGGGCCAGTGAACAGAGTTAAATGGAACACTGCAATTTACAGTCATTTACTAATGTCCGTTTCTATGGATGGCACGGTCAAGGTGTGGAACTTCTGGTCCAGCCTGGATCCATGTGTAAAGACGCTTAATATTCATACAAAGGCAGTGAGAGATGCTTGCTGGGGTCATTCTGGCAAAGAAATAATATCTTGTGGATATGATAAAATGGTAATCCTGTCTGATGTTGACACAGGTATACATTTCTTATCAATGCTTCATGATAGTATCAGTTATACTTATATTCAATTTTATCAAATGTTGACAAATTCACTGTAATATTGTGCTTCATTGTGGGATATAAATCATCTTATTGTTGCTCAAACACAAGTAGCCTGTTATCATGCTCAATCAGATTATCAATTCTTAGTCCAAGTGAAAACATTTCATTTTCTGAATTCTCCTGTTTATTTTGTGATTTTGTTAAATGATAGGTTCAGTGTAATAAATATGAATATAAATGAATGTTTTCTTTTTTGCAAAGGTCAACAATTGACAACTTTTCAACACGAAAATTATGTGAATTGTGTTAAGTGTCACCCAGATAATACCAATATATTTGTGTCGGGATCCTATAACATACTACAGGCCTGGGACAGACGTACACCGGACAGACCTGTTAGAGAATTCATCTACAAGGACAACACTGGACAGGTAGATAATTAGTCTGTTAATAAAGACATGTTGTACATATAGAGCAACTCGTTAAGTACGTAAAATGTTCCACTTTAAACCATATTAAAGCTCAGTTGAATTCACATTTTTTTATTGTTATTTTCATTTGAAAAAATACTGTTTACTAAATTCTATAAAATAAACAGCTTAAAATTTGCATGGATTCATTTGGCAAAAATGTTCAAAACATCTGTGTCAAAAGGATGAATAGAATGGACCAGACAAGTAAATGATTCAGCACTTTCTCTGATGAACCATGTAACTAAAGTGATTACACACAACAATAGACACCACATTAAATTACTTACACATCTTTTACAACAATACTACTATTAATGCTATAAACTGTGGGCAATCATTTTTAGGTTCTGTATTTCCTTATTTATTCTTTGTAGGTCCAAGATGTGATATTTTCAGCTGATGGAAGCAGCATGTTTTCATCCTGTGATTTATTGAGTCGTGACTCTGCTGATAGGAACCTGATGGCTTGGGATTTCAGTAGTGGGGTGGTTCTCTCCAACCAAATATACCAGGTAACAGTTATTATCTCTTATTGCCTCACTGGATTAAACATAGGAAAAGTTACCTCCCCTTGATCCACCACCATGTCTGGCAGTGGTTACCTCCCCTTATCTCACCAGGCCCACAGTTATGTCCCTCCGTCTCACCAGGTACACCTGTTAAGGGTTCTATACCCTTGTCCAATCAGACACACCAGTTGTTGCAACACAAAATACCCGATCTAACCTGTATTGTCTGCTGTGATAGTTATTTCCATTATAGTTAGAGAAATTTGAATATTGTGTTTTCCAAGATACATACTTTCATTGATTTTAGTGAAACAAATATTCATGTTTCTCCATATTTCAGTGCACCAAAAACTGAACAAGGTTACAGTTTTATATATCAACAACCAAAACTTGATCACTTGACAGAAATATGATGACTTTGTAGCTTTGAGAAAAATAAGTTTATTTTTCATGAGATTTGTCTTGTCAAAAAGGTAATTACACTTTATTTGGATGATATTTGATAACATATGATGTAAGTATTTTATCTTTTTCCTTAAAAAAATCACAAATGATACTGGCTACGATGTTACATAATGATAGTGCTATCAGTTATATATTTCCTCTCTCAGGAGCGATACAGCTGTACAAGGCTCAAGCTACACCCGACTGAGGGCCACTTCCTAGCTCAAACTAATGGCGACTACATAGCCATCTTCTCTACACAAAAGCCCTACAAACTCAACAAGGCCAAGCGCTTTCAGGGTCACAAGGTAAAACTCCACTTGTTCACTTCTTTGGTGTGTAGTGGTCAAGATAATTGAAAGTGTAATAAGCAATTATTAAGTGAATTAAGTTTCACAGTAACTTACTAATTAAGAGATTATGGTATAGGGCATTTTAAGGAAATTTTAGCAAGGCATGTTGGAAACCACGACAAATAGCCCAATACAGACAGAATACGTTACAGTTAGTAAAATATGCATCACCAACAATTCAGATAAGATTTAATTACATAAATAACCGAAGGAGTCAAGTTAGATATGATCATTTTCTGGTTCAGTTTCTGTGGAAAGGTAGTACAAATTTGGTACTCACTTTTATATCAAATATGTGGTACTATATCTCCAGCACTCTAAACAAATGTACAAAAGTAACATTTATTAACTCATCTGTTACTACAGGGGAACGGCTACGCAGTTGGATTTGACTTGTCTGTAGATGGGTCACTAGTGGTCAGTGGCAGTGCTGATGGTGACACTTACTTTTACAATTACCACACTGGACGGCTCCTTCGCACACTGACCACTGGTCTGGACATTTGTACAGATGTGGCCATACATCCTGTATTGACCAGCACAGTTGCATGCTGTGGATGGAATGGACACATACAGGTATGGAGATGACCATTACTGACCAATGGAAGTGTTGTGATAGCCATGAACATTATTCTGGCATAAAGATGACCTTAACTGACCAAGTGTTGTGGCTGGTGATATTGACTGATCATTATACAGAGGTGTTGTGGTTAGAGAGGATACAAGATGGATGTGCAAGTTCTACACCGGATTAGTTTTGAAGTGATCACTGGTATAAAGCTTATAGGATGAAGTCACACTTCACCATTTTTGAAGTAAATAATGTATTTCTCAAAATACCTTCTTAAAAACAGTTCATATTTACACCGAGTGAGTTAAAAGACTTCTATATTGCTTCAATTTTGGCAGTCAGCACTCGAGTTAAAGGGTCAAAGGTTACCCTTGACCACATGGGAGGTTGCTGTTGAATTATGTATATTATGATAGCCATACTCACTAAGGTTTTTTAAGGGGGGAAAACTGCACATGTGCAGACACAATTTTTCAGGACAAATGTTGGCAGTATAACATAGTTTTACCATTTTGAAGTTAGTCTTGTATCTAATTTGTGATCCTCTGAAAGCTGATTCTTGAAAGATTGAACTTTGGTAATCACAACTGTTCTATCATGTAAGATCTTGTTTACAGTCTCCACACAGCAACATTTCCTTGTTAGTGGATCAGTGTCTACAAAGTGTGTCCATGGATATCAAAAATAAAAACTCCAACTCAGATTAAGATATGGATGAAACTTTTATTTATGTATTTTAGAAAAAGCATAAAAACACAATACCCATCAACATGAAATAAATATACCGTGTAGCACTATTTTGAATTGCTGAGTCTGTGTACAAATAAATATTCCCACAAAATGCTCTCATAAAATAAAATGTATGATAAGCAAAAAAAAAAAAAAAGTTAGAGTCTGACTCAGTAAAACAAATTTAACGACAAATAAAAGTCAATCTATAATCAAATGATCAGAACAATATAACAGACACACACTACCACTGATGATAAAGATTCCAAACCCAGGTGAACATTGCTCTTCATGGTTATAGTTCTGGGAATGATTACTTGGTCAGATGTTGATATTTACAGATGTGAATATTATGAAGGAATATAACTTTTAAATAGTGGTCACAATCTGCTATCATTTGTTGAACAGAAAATTGCTCAGAAAATATAGCATAAGGTTTAAAGATGAAAAGATCAAATAATTCTACCGCTGATTTAAACATCCTTTCAAGGAAGCTCCGTGTGTAGTAGGTATTATTTCAGTGAACATGTACAAGATTGCATACTTGTAGCCAGCAAATACATGTACACATATCATGAAACAACATACACATGAATAAATAGATGTGAAGCACTTAACATGGACTTGTATGCCATGTTAGATAAAATAACTCACTGGTATTGAAATTCATAATGGAAATCAACAAGTTACAATTTGACCAACCAGACGAAACAATGCTGGGAGTGTCTAGTTCATTAGCCAAGGAAGGCCTATAACTGTGTTCTGCTATAAGTTGTAAAGACACATGCAAACCTCTTGTTTATACATCAAGATCTGACATAATATATATCTGTGACGTGCGTTACAGAGACGCATTTATGATATCTAAAAACCACAAACATTCAGTATACCTTTAAACATGATACACAATATATATTGTCACACAAACTTACCTGATAAATACATGTACAGTTGTAAACTTTGAAATCGTGTAGCTTCAGAGTGGTTTATATCGGTAAATTCTGTAGAAAAACAGGGTTGGGGTGGGGCAATTATTTCAAATACATAATCATCATACAAAATATTATATAACTACATATGTATTGTGAAACCTGACTATACTGTTGATAAGTGATATCTAACTGTTAGGACATCCTATAATATCAGATATGATTAGAAAGATTGGTATGTAGGTATTTAACCTTAAGTTTACCGTCTAAACGATTCAGTCCTGTTGATGTAAGTAACAACAGATTTCATTGTAGTATCAAACAAATAAGCCTAAACCCAGGATCAGGATACATGGATACGTGACTAGGATAGCTAGCATTTTTGAACAGAACCTGCTGTTCTGGTCCTGACCAGATCCTAAGTCCATGGACGATTTTATAAACCAGAGTGTCTTCCTAATTTATTGGCACAATTTCATGACACTTCATTGTGACTGAAGTTGTAACATTTCAAGAAAACACCATGTTGTAAACAGAAATGGTTGGCTGTGTCTTTACATGTGATCAGTAAACACCTCTATGAAGTTTGACCCAAGGGTTTAGACCTAGTTTAACACCCAAGAGTTAAAATTTATTAATAGGACTGCACTAATAGGAAATGGTATCATTATTGCCTGTGTTGAACAGTGAAAACTTGGTGTGGCACCTTTAATCACTGTGGATGCTTAAACCTCCAAGGCAGGGATGGATAGAGGCGAAAACAAAGTTACGCTGGCTTTAAACCTCTTCAATTGCAGCTTACCCATACATTATTGCACCATACAATCTAAACAACAGTGTTAACTCACGAAAGAAAATGTGCACATATGAAGATGTACTTCACCACCAACCTAATATCATTCAACATGGGACTAGATTAAATATCTATGCCTACAGTATAACATTTTATATGTACTTAAATTTTGTTAACACTGTATCTTAAATACATGTAATATTTCTATAAACTACATTCCATAATATACAATAACAATGATTTCTATCTGACATGAGTATAAATGATGCTACATAACATTTTGGTAAAATACTGCCTTTAGACTCTAGAAATTAAATAATATATACTTTGTCAAATCAATTTATTTCCAATACACTTTCACTGGATAAGTTACTTTAAACTTGACATATGATATAGAATACCATTGTTGAAGGGAGATAATCCACTCTATTTAAATTGATGTTGCATACAGTATGGCTAGCACAAGTTTGACATTTTAACTGTGACAGCTAAAATCTGACACTTAGGTCCAATCAATATGTCATCTAATAAACCTTTTTAGTTTGTTTTGACTCAACATATTCTTAAATTCTATGTAAATGGTACGCAAAAATTTCAAATACAAATGTCACCTTTTCAAAATGAATTGAAAAAAATCACTATCATCCAGTCTGTTGATTACAACTAATGTATCAAATGCAATATGCTCCTTCATTTTACGTTTTTACATAGCCCTACAATTTGGATGCAACACACCAGGTGTCAGTTAGGCAGCTATCAGTTTGACAACATTGATGCTAGACAAGTCTAAATACAAATCACCAGGACAAACATGCTGTCAAGGTAAAAAACAGACATACAAAACACCACCACAAGAGGGAGATCAATGAACAGACTGCCATATAACACAAATACAGCAAAGAATTGTCACATACAATAAATACTGGAAAGAAAGGTACACACACTGCCACGTACAAGGAGTACAAGACATTTACACACACTGCCACGTACAAGGAGTACAAGACATTTACACTGCCATATACAAGGAGTACAAGACATTTACACACACTGCCACTTACACTGCCATATACAAGGAGTACAAAGACATTTACACTGCCATATACAAGGAATACCTGAGTGTAACTATATACCACTCCATGGTCAAACATCAGTAATATCATATTAGGACATGTTTTCACTCATTCACCCCTGAAATTTCATAATGAACTATTCCAACCTTTTGAATTGGAAGAGTTCAAATGTGTTTTCTGGGGTGAATGAGTTAATGTGTTATTTTTAAAAACAATATTCGCAAACAAATATGATAGTTATATAAGGTTTATTACTTTTTATTGTTATTGATAAATAATTTACTATTTAATTTTCAATTCAGTATTCTTCAGTTGAAACTTTAAAAGAAAAAACAAAATCATGGTACAGAAGTTTCTCATATTTTACAAGTGATTAAGTCTTCAAGTTGACCACAAAATGATGAACCTTATAATTCACATTTTATAAGTTAAGTACATAATGCCATATACTTTAATAAACTCATCATCAATTTCTAAATTTAAAAAGCCCTTAAATACTTGACTTTAAGTTCTGCAGAACAGAATAAAGTGAAGTCTTACATTGTTGAGCAAATTACAAAACCTGAAATATGCACAATTAAAGATAACCTACATTTGGAATGTTGTGAAATTCACATTAATTAATGTATACAATTCTCTCTGTCAGGTTATGACCTCTTTGTCCGTAAAGTCTCATTAATCAGATTAATATACCAGACAAGGATCATGAAAACTAAAGGCTGTTGCATTAAATGTGAAAAGAAAGTCGATGTGTCTCTGGCAGGAACAAGTCAATGTGTCTCAGACAGAAACAAGTCAATGTGTCACGGACAGGAACAAGTCAATGTGTCTCTGGCAGGAACAAGTCAATGTGTCTCATACAGGAAGGAGTCAATATGTCTCAGACAGGAACAAGTCAATGTGTCTCAGATAGGAACAAGTCATTATGTCTCTGACAGGAACAAGCCAATGTGTCTCTGACAGGAACAAGTCAATGTGTCTCTGACAGAAACAAATCCATGTGTCTCAGACAGGAAGGAGTCAATGTGTCTCTGACAGGAACAAGTCAATGTGTCTCGGACAGGAAGGAGTCAATGTGTCTCTGACAGGAACATGTCGATGTGTCACAGACAGGAACGAGTCAATGTGTCTCAGACAGGAACAAGTCAATGTGTCTCTGACAGGAACAAGTCAATATGTCACAGACTGGTGTAAGTCCATGTGTCTCTGACAGGAATAAGTCCATGTGTCTCCGACAGAAACAACTTGATGTTTCACAAACAGGAACGAGATAGCCTATTGTTTGCCATAATAGTGGTACATCCTGTATGTCTCAAAAAAGAACACTGACAGAAAACAAATGTATTCAAGTTAATGCTTCTAGTAACTGTGCTGCTAGTTCCTACATTAGTCTGTAAATGTACAGGTACTAAATGTGTATGAGTGAGGACAGCAGAGGTGGTAGATACCATGTATCACTGCTAGTGTCATTGCAAGTCAACGCAGTTAGTTTATAGTTAAATTAGATTACGGAACATTGCATCACAAATGACTGGCATGTTTTTAAATGGGTAAGTGTTTACAAAGTCATATTAATGGAAATTGAAGCTAAAAGCTTATTATACAAGTTTGTGGCAGCCAATGAGACAACTTGCACTTGCACTGTGCCTTACTTACTGCAGTGTTGTGACCACTAATGCTAGCTTCACCGAGTACACATGTACCAGTAAGACAGGAAAGCAAAGATCACTTACATCAATGACATATCAATGTTATATATACACCAATGACTAGAATGGGTTTTCACAATTGTCCTTTTTCAAGCAAAAACAAATTATTCCTGAAATACCTAATGAATAATTCAACTGTTACATTTATTGTTTATGATACGTATACTTCGGATTTCACCATCTTCAGTTGGTTGAAAAACAATTTAAACAATCCTTTTCACAAAGACACTGATAGTAATACTTTCTGACAGAGAAAGTGAATGACAAATACAAAATATGCATAGCATATTCAGTGGAAGATTACCTTAATATTAATATAAAATAATTGAAGATTGTAATTTCACAATTCCAGGTACCAGATGAAATATCATACACATACATAAAAATGTCAGATTACTTTTTTCCAATATTAACATAATATAACGTAGAGTGGAGGACAATAGAGACTCGCTGAAGCTATGGTTTATAGGCTGCCATTTAACACAAGGATTCAAGATAACCCAGTATTACTACCAAGTCCTTGTTACAACTCAGACTCGTAGAAACATAACAATCAAAGGGAATTAATATCATAACAGACAGAAACGTGAATCAATTCAGTAATACATCACCTCTTTACTAAATAAACCTCTATACTCCTAAAATGATTTTTCAATCCATGTTTGAGAATTCAAAATAAAAGCTTATTTCAAAAAAATATACATTTTAATATTTGGAATGTAGTTAAAGAAATCAAACTTGAACTCATGATATAATTCCATTGTAAATACATGACAACACACCAGCTATCATCGTCTGTGTTCTAATGTAAGATTGCATGTTGTTACTGTCAGCAGTGGAACAACCGTATATAATATGGCCACACTTTGGTTGTTTGGCCTTCAATACTTAAAAGGTCACAACACATACAACTTCAGAGAACCTCTTACTTGTTCCCTATTTCAAGCATCAGGAATCATTTACAGTTTACTGAAAAAATTGCAAATATAACTCACTGTTCGTACCAAAAAATTGTGATTTGTCAACAAACTGTCATTTCACAAATTCAAAAAAACTTTACCACTCCCCAAAAAATGCTTGGGACTGTTTGTAAAATCAGCGTCAGATTAAACCATAAAAACTGTGGTACTGTGAGAAATACTTCTGAATAAGTTAACTGGAGATTTGTGTCTTTGTGACCTCTGATACCCCGTGTCTCCTCTTGCTCCAACTTTCTGTCTCTCCCTGCGTCCAAGCCTCCGTAACGCCACTTGCTTCACACCCCTAGGGCTCCATACTCCAAGTTCCACTGTTCATACTTGGATAACGTATCAACAGGCACACTCTTCCTGATTCGTCGTATAGAGTCTATGAAATCACGGTATGTTATACCCCTCACCTAAGGCAAACAAGAGCACACATCAGTGATGTATAAATACTGTTCAGTCTTATATCTTAGATTAGACTGACTTCTAAATGTATGTTATGATGCTAACATAAGAGGCCTGCACTGATCACCTGGTATTTAATCTCACACTTGTAACCTTAAAATTGGACAAAGGTCAAATATATTCCGATGGACAAAATAAAGCTATAGACTTATTTGGTAAAAACTCCTTTAGCCTTACTGAATTAGTGGGATTTAAAAGATTTACCCATTTCCCCTAATTAGCCCCACCCTCTGCCCAAGGGTGACACACACCTTTCATTTTTTGGCATAATTAAATCCTTGGCTCAGGGATTATTTATACCAAATTTAGTTAAAGATTCTAACACATACTGAAGAAGAAGGACTTTATTACCCCTATTGAGAAAAGCATCCCTGTACCTCTAAGGATGGGGGTACAACCAATTCAAGGTTATGTGAATTAAGTCCAGGACATAATGCCTTTGGGCTAAAATTATTCTCCAAAAACTTATAAAGTTTTAGTTTTACCTTATTTGCATCCACAGTTTTGACCTCTGTTGCTGACAATTCTGAAATAACATAAAAATAGTTCACATGACTATGTTACATGTTCATGATAGGTATGAACCCTAGAACATCTCATCCTTGTATTCACAGAATTCGACAGAGAGCCTCTTCCAACATTTCCAGTCTGGTAGCCTGATTCACTGCAATGCCACTACATTCAGCATGATTTGTAACTGTTTGTACTATGGAAGCCTTGATCACGTATCATTATGTATGCTTGCAGCTTATTTCCGTAGACTATAGTGCCCACTATTATGCAATATTACTTCACAATTGTACAACATCATAAATAGCAATCTTCTGGCTTGACACTATTTTTGACACAAGACTGAGAAAAGGATATTTGCATGCACATGTATTATGACTGGTAAGTATAATCACCACATGTATTATGACTGGTAAGTATAATCACTACATGTATTATGACTGGTAAGTATAATAACTACATGTATTATGACTGGTAAGTATAATCACCACATGTATTATGA